CCCCCCCCCACCTGGCCCCGGCCCCGTGTAATGTCTCTGTGAGACCTGGACTTTGTTTTTTACGGGCGTCCCGGCCGCGGTCCCTCCCTCCCCCTCCCCCCCGGCGCCGGTTCCGCCCCCCGGGACCGAGGACTCAGGAACGGCACCGGGCCGGGAGCGGGGGGGGGGGGGGGGGGGGTGCGGGCCGGGGCCGGGGCCGGGGGGGGGTTGTTTGGGGGGGGGAGGGGGGAGAGGGGGTGGGGGCGTCTCCAGCGGCCGCACGTGACTGTACGGGTGACGCGTTCCGATTTCTATTAAATTAAAGCTCGTCCCGGCCCCCAATTTGGCTGCGCTGCGTTCGCTCTGCGCCATTTCCCCCCCCCCCCCTCCGTCTCCTTCCCTCCCATTCTCTGCGCCGCCATTTTGTGTCGCTTGGAGGGGGCGGGTCACGTGTTCGAACCGTCCTCCGTCACGTGTTTAAAGGTGTTGGGAGGGGGGGCCCCGCGCCATTCGCTGTATGACGTAACTTCCGGTCGCGGGTCACATGGCCCGGAAGTAGCGGGGCGCGTAAGATGGCGGCGGCGTGAGTTGCATGTTGTGGAGCTGCCGGGAACATTCGCCGCCGCCGCGCCATGGCGGTGACCGTGACGCTGAAAACGCTGCAGCAGCAAACGTTCAAAATCCGCATGGAGCCGCACGAGACGGTGAGGGCGGGCGGCGTTCGGGGGGGTTGCGAGGAGCCGCAGCGGGGCCCGGATTTGGGTGGGGGGGCCTCGGGCGTTGGGGTGAACGGCGGTGCGGGCCCAACCCCCCCCCCTCAGGTGCGGGCGCTGAAGGAGAAGATCGAGGCGGAGAAGGGCAGCGATGCGTTCCCGGTGGCGGGTCAGAAGCTCATCTACGCCGGGAAGATTCTCAGCGATGACGTTCCCATCTGCGAGTACCGCATCGACGAGAAGAACTTCGTGGTCGTCATGGTGACCAAGGTGCGACCCCCCGCCCCGCGCCCCTCAGCTCGGAATCGCACAGGAACGCCAAGGCTGGGGAAGGCCGACGGGATCATCCAGCCCTGCCACCCCCCCCCCCCCC